GAATGAAGGAGTGAATGAATGAAGAAAAGAGTGGAGTGAAATAGTCCTTTAAGGGCTTTCCATCTTTTCTTTTTCCAGCCCATGCTGGGAGCCAAGCCTGGGGCTAAAGGACCTGATGGTTGGTTCCAAAGGAAGCTCTGACTTCCTTCTTGAGGAGCATCGGGGTGTAGTGGGCAGTCCCGGGGCCAGGGTTTGAATCCCACTCCAGGGCACCCAAAGCCGGGCTGGAGCTCTCTGCCAGCTGCTGGGGCTGCGGAGCCAAAGGAAAGGGCTCCTGCCCTCAAGGAGTTTATATTCCAGAGCCCCAAGGCGTAAATGAATGCACAAATACTGTTTTGATTTAATTTTCACCAGGCAGTCCTGTAGCTGAGCTCTGCTTAGAGCTCCTGCTAAGGGTGGGGAAGAGCAGGAGCGGCCTGGGGGAGGTGGGAGGAAGCTGTTTTTCTAAGAGGTGGAGGTAGGAAGGGTGCCGGGGGAGGGGGGGGCGACACCTTGGAGCCAAGGCTTGGAGGTGAGAGAATGGCTCTTCCCTTCTGTCCAGCAAGAGCTAGTGGAAGGGGAGCCTGAGGCCCTCGACTCCTTGGGCAGGTCACCCTGATGCCCACTCAGCATCTCACCCATGAAATGAAGCTCTGAGGTCGTCCAGCTCATGGCTAGTGGAGCTTGGAGGGGAGCTGCCAGGGTGGGCCTCCCACTGCCTGCACACACCCCTGGGGCCCCACTAGTCTCCCCAGGAGCTTCCTGCCAGCCCAGAATAACCCTCGTGGTCACCTTCAGCACTGACTTCCCACTGTCTCCGGGTCTCCCCATCTCCTCCCTCCCTTTAATCCCCCTTTCTGATCCGTAGGACCTACTTTCTTAATCCACCCTGGCAGATGGGAACAGCCCCATCGTGGCTAAAAAGGTCTCTGTTATTCCCAGGACTTCCAGGTAGAGATACTTAGCGATGGGAGTGGAGGGGGGGGTCCGAAGATCCTCGGGGATCATAGATCTAGGAATCATCTGCGGGAGCTGATGGAACCCCAAGAAAGAAGGGCAGAGCCCCAGGGGATACCAGGTTAAAGCCAGGATGAGGGTGTGTGCCTTGGTCCTACTCAGCCCAGGAGGGAGGAGACCAGAAGGGGGTGAATGATGGGTGGGGGCGGGCCTCTGCCTGCTACTGCCCCCATCTTTACGCTCCCCCGGAACTGTTCCCCAGCCCAGGCCAGGAGGGTCCTTCATATCCGAGGGCTGTGGCCAGCTGGCTTCGTCCCAGGAGGGGTGGCCCCTTGGCACCCAGAGAGGCGATGTCGGGCAGGTCCCCAGCTGGCCCTGGGGGCTCTTTGTGCATCCACTTCCTGAGGGCTCCGAAACCCTCTGACTCGGCTGTGCCTGCAAATGAATCAGTAGCAGGCTCCTTAGCCCAGGAAATCCGCGGGAACACTTACGTCCCGGGAGTTACTCGCACCGATCCATGTGGCGATGGCATAGTTACATTAAAGCATATTTGGAAGGCAGGACAACTTAAGCAGCCGATTAGTCAAGCTCAGAGGGGGCGAGCAGTAAATCACACTGCACTGACTCTCGCTGATGGAGGCTGCCACGGCCGCTCCTTCCAGCCCCGCTGTGAGGGCACACGCTCAGGAGGACGTTTGTGTACGTGCTGACTTTCTTCCCTCTGCCGCGTGGCGCAGGGCCCGCTTCACTGGTGCCAGCCTGGCCTGATGGAGCCCACACCTACCCTCGGGCCCTCCTCCGGAGACAGCTGCTCCGGCCTTGGCTGACATAGAGCCTGCTGTGTGCCAGCTGCTGGGAATGCAGAGAAAGGCCAAAGCCACAGCCTGCCCTCCAGGAACTCCGAGGCTAAAGGAAGGTCATCGGAAAGGGGGAGGCGGGGAGATGCCGGGAAAGGCCCCCTGCCGAAGGTGGTACCAGCCGGCGCTGAGTGTGAGTGTGAGCGGCTGGAGGAGGACGACGAGGCTGAGCACGCTCCTCTCTGCCTGAAGGGCAGGGGGGAGTCGGGAGCCCACAAGGGCAGCGTTCATGGCTGGGGGAGCCCCCACAAAGCCCTTTTCTTCACTGACGTGTCCTCACCCCAGTCTTCCCTACTTCCCTACAGTGACCTACTGTAGGTGCTGCCATCCACATGGAAGTGGGGTGGCTCCTGCTGCCCAGGAGAGGGAGAGACCGCAGGGAAGGTTCCACCTGCCAGGCCACTGGGAAGGCCCCCACGTGAGCTCTCCTTCACTGGGGCTTCCATGATAAAATCTCATCCATTTCTAACGTTGAGCCATTTGGCAGAGCCAGGACGTGGGTGGTGAGGGTCTTCAGTCACCGTGGCTGTGGGCCCCTTCCTGACATCGGCCGGGTCACTTGGGGGCTGCCTCCACTGCCTGGGTTCTCATACTTACAGGCTTGTGGTAGCAGGGCATCCTCATCCATGGGGTGAGGACGGTGGGCCTGCTCTGCCCTGTGGTAGCTTCACACCGTGGTCTGATGTACGCTGCTTTCTCAGGCTGCGTGGCTTCCCACTCGTGGCCGTCTGCACCAGGGCCAGGGCGTCCACCTTTAGTGGCCGGTCCTCGTCTGCTGCCTCCCATTGATCGTGGTCCTGTGAGCTTTTCCATGTTCCTCTGAGGTTCTCAGTGGCTTGCGGCGGCCCCTCCCCAAGTGTGGGCGTGCATGCTTTGGTTACTGTAGGTCGACCTTCGTGCGGATCTGTCCATACCAAGCTCCCAGGAAAAGGGCAGGAATGACTTGGTGACTTCTCCCAGAATCCCCAAGAAGCTCTGCCAAGTGTGTGTGATCGGTGTCATTTTGTAGCATCTCACGTTAGTTCTCCCGTGATCTGACCCCGTGTGGGGTCACTTGGGCTACTGGGCCCCGATGGCAGAGGATGCTCCCTACTTGAATAGGCCTCTCCCAACACTGCTCCCCAGCTTCTCCCCTAAACCTGTTTGGGGGATACACGTCCTTGCTTGAACCTCAGCTGAGTGTGGATGCCCCCTCAAGCTAGGGGAGAGCTTCTGTGGGAGGGCCTTGATCTGCCAGTGATGGGTTGGGGAGGGGGGATGCTGTGCCACGAGGGAATAAAGCTCTTCCCTTCAGCCTGAGGTCAGATAAAGCTGTGGGACGATGTTCCTTCTGCCTTTTATTGGGCTGCTGCGGACCCCAGGCCAGTCACCGACCATGGTCTGCCTCAGTTTCTTCATGTGTAACGTGGGGATAACAATACCGTCTCCCTCTCAGGCTGTCGTGAGGGTCCAAGGACTGGAGCTGCCTTTATGTGACCAGTCAGGGGTGGGAACCTCCGTGTCGGGTTGACTTCTCTCATTGTCACTGATCCAGAGGTCCTCTTCTTAGGGTTATTGACAGTCTTGGAGTCTTGGCTACATCTCTAGACTTAGATCTGAACAAAAAAGAGACTTTGCAGCAGATAAAAGTAAACTCCTATTCATTCTGCATCCTAAGCCCGACAGCTGGTTGGGTGAATCAGTCCACAAGCATTCTCTGAGCCTTGCCCACTGCCAGGCAGAGCCGCCCACACTGCCCAGGAAAAGCTCCATCCCAAGGCCCCTGTGTCTGGCGGCCTTGGAGCACAGCCCCCGACAGAGCCTGGCCAGTGGCAGAGGGAGCTGCCGTGGCTGTGTTCCACCTCTGATGCATCTCCCCAACTTGGCCATGCAGAAACCATCCCTGTGCTCAGGGCTGGAGAGGGAGACTTTCAGCCCCCCTTATCTTTTGTTTGTTGGTGTATACCTGTTTGCACGTTCCCTCTGCGGACAGAAGACCTATTAATTATTATATCATTTAAATCTAACCGGAGAGTGGACCTAGAATGTCATCCTGACCTCAGTAACTCTCCAGGAATGCCAGAGACGGCTGCAAGGAGTTTGGGGTTCCCTCAGGCCCTCAAGCCACCCACAGTATTGTGGGTTACCACACCCAGGGCTCAGGTCAGCCCACCAAACCGGTGTTTTGGCTTCCCCACCCCCAATTTTATTGAATGTTTACACTGACTGATGTCCACCTCAGCGGGGGCAACCTTACTCTGCTGTGTCTGTGATGTGCTCAGGCAGTCTTGTCAGAATCCTGTGGGATGTAAGCTTTCCAGGAGCTGAATGAGTGAGAGGGAGCTGCTGCCTTTCTGGTGCAGACTTCTCTGCCAAAGGACCTTAGACTATTTCAGATTTTCCCGTCAGAGACCAGGAATCCTGGCCTTTCCCTCCCCTGCCCCAGGTTCAAGTCACCCCAAGATTGAGGCCATATGCCCTCAGTCCCTGCCTTCTCCACACCTGGACCAGTGGGGGCAGCCTGAGGGTGGAGAGAGGGAGAAGGGTCACAAGAGTTGTCTCCCAGGCTTGGCGGTCATTGGCTGGACACATGGGCAGCTGCTGGTTGGGCTAGCCAGAGGCGCTGGGGGGTTTGCCCTCAATGTGCGCTATTCCTCAGCCCAGGCGAGACCCCTCTGTTCCCTGTTGTCAGGGGACACACATTGGAGCAGCCCTGTCCCCTTCCACCTTTCCCTTTCTCCTGAGGGATGAGTCTGAGGTCTTTCTCTGAATGTCATTTAGGGCACAGGCCCTGTTGGAAGGTGGTCTCCAGTGCCTTTGGGGATAGAAAGGGGCAGTTTGGTGCAATCATGGTGCTTCCACCTGAGTCCTGCCTCCAGTAGATAGGCCAGGGGAGGGGTGCCTAGGGTGGCAGAAAGAGGTCTCGGGAGCTGGGGTCCCTCCCCAAGCTGCCCTGAGCCCCAGATTGCTTGTGGATGGAGACTTGGGTTGGGGGGGAGGCATGTGCAAGTGTGTGTGTGTGTGTGCACGCATGTGCGTGTGCGCGTGCATGCGAGTGTGCTGACGCTCCTTCCCCACTGTCCCCACGTTCTCCTGCATGTTTTGAGGTGCAGAGCCCTGGGTTCCCCAGCTTCTTGTCTCAGCCTGAGGCACGTTGGCTTGGCCTGTGCCCTGCTCAGCTGCCCTGGCCCTGCCTGATGCCCGTTGGGGTTTGTCTGGTTCCCTCAGGTATATCCGGGTCCTAAAAGATCACAAGCCCAAGATTGTCTGGCACCAAGAGTTTGCAGAGCATTACTTCGAGTACAAGAGGTGAGCGCTGAGCCTGAGGGTGGACGGAGAGGGGGAGGGGCCTGGCCAGGAGCTCTACACCCTCAGACCCCTGGGGGGCTGGGATGGGCCTCAGAGGTCATCCAGCCAGGGAAGGGGCCCCCCCACACGTGTCTGGGCAGCCTGGGCCTCCCTGGGGTCCTTTGTCCCTTTGTGGGCACCAGCCTCAAGCTGCCTCTTTGTACCCACCCAAGTCTTCCCTTCTCCGGGAGAAGCATCCTGCTCCTCCCCCCTCAGAACCATTTCCAACTCATCCATATCCTTCCTCAAATGTGGGGCTCAGCTGAAGCCAATCCTCTACTTAGGAGGTGCAGCCGAGGTCCAGCACCTATAGCACGGAAGGGAGATAGTGCCACCCACTGCGGGGTGAGGGAGACGACGCCGTGCGGGGAGGGATGGCTGAAATCCCAAGGACAGAGTCAGGACCAGAAGGGTCTGGACAAGCCAGAGCCTTGGGATGGTGCAGAGGCTGCCCAGGAGCTCCATTGGGCAGGTCAGAGAGCTCAGTGGGCATCCCCAGAACTGACAGAGGCTGCAGGAAGGGGGCCAGATCAGGGTCACCCTCCTGGGGCAGCCTCCCAATCCACAACTTCTCCAAGCATTGGTGCCCTCTCTTCTTGGACGGGAGCAGGGACCGAAATGCTGGGAGACAGGGCTTTCCCTGCACTGCCCCCTCCTCAAATAGTCACAGGCCTACCTTTACATTTATAAGGCCTCACCATCCCCTACTCAAGCCCTGGTGTTGAGTCCAGGGACCAGCCCTTAATAAATGTGCGTTAACTTAAATGGATAAACTGGAGAATGGCCAGAGAAGGGCAGCTAGGAGGGCCAGGGGCCTGGAGATCCTGCAGTATTAGGCCTGAGGAAGGAGGGATTTTGGGGGGCCAGGATGGGGGGTCTGGAGTCACATCCCACTCCAGGCCCTGGGCCAGACAGTGCGCTCTCCGAACCTCCAAGGAGGTGAGGTCAGTGGGCCTCCATTAGGGCTGAGCTTACCCTGGGGAAAGCTGCTGATGAGAAATTCCCCTCACCATCACTCTACCTTGTGTCTTTCAGAAGCAAAAGCAGAAAGCATTTCATCTTCTTTCCGACCCTGAAGGTAAGTTTATATGTGCCTCTGTGAGAGGGCCATGGAGGGCTGGGGATGAGACAGAGGACGCCAGCCACTTACCTCCCCGTGCAGCATGCGGAGATTGTGGCTGTGGTCACACGGATGGCCGTATCTCATAGTTCTTCCCTCAGACCCTTGCACTAGCCCGGGATAGCCCTGCCTTCCAGGAGGAAGGCCTTGTGATGCCTGGGAGGGCCTGCTGGGTCACCCTGGCTTTGCACCATGAGGTGGATGGATGTTGTTGGCCCCATGGTGACCCTGAGGCTCACTGATTTGGGGTCTCCCGGGACCAATCTACCCTTTCCACCCCTCTGTCCCAGGGTAAGGGAGATGGGTCTGAAATAAGCCCAGGCCTCAGCTATGCCCTGCTGTGGAGCCCCAGGAGGTGGGCTGTAAGCTTGGTTTGACAGAACTATAGCATAATCCTGCAGCATGTGCCAGGCATGCTGGAATCTTGGGTGGGGAGGAGGGGCGAAGGTAACCCACCAGCAGCAGCCTCAGTCCCTGGGACCAGTCAGGAAGCACAGGTTGCTGCTGGGTTGGTGAGGTGTGGTCTGGGCTGAGCATGACCTTGTCCAGAGGCACGGGGCTTCCTCCCCCCCCCCCACCCAGGCTTCTACAGGCCCACTAACCAAGGCTGTTAGCTGCAGCGATGATATGGGCCCCCTGGGTGGGATGCATGAGTGGGTCTGCTTGGACCAGGCTGGCTTCTGTTAGGTTTGGGTGACTCTTTTAGGGGGAGGTGTGTCTTAAGGTGACCTCAGACCAGCAGCCCTGTGCCTTCTCTGACTCCGTTTGTGAAATTTGCCCTTCAGAGGCAAAATCCACTCTCTGAAGGAGCCCTGTGTCTTCAAGGGGGGCCCATGGATTTGGGCCCCTGGCTGGCTGGGGCTTTGGGAGCCCCCATCCATGTGTCTGCTTCCAGACCTGGCGGGCGTGCCAAGGGGGTGGGGGTTCAGGGCAGGCTTGGGCCCCTGCAGGGAGCAGCTTTGGGCCCTGCCACCAGGAGTGAGCAGGGGCCTCTTCTCTCTCAGTCCATTCAGCTGCGGCTGGACCTCGCCAAGGAGCTGGGTACCGGCATTGCCATCTGGGAGCTGGGACAAGGCCTGGACTATTTCTATGACCTGCTGTGAGGCCGTGAGCAGAGCCCCTGCACCCTCCCCCCCTCAAACTGAGCCAGATTGTTTTTGTTTGGTTTTGTTTTTAAGAATTAGACTTTTGTACACTGTTGAGGGTGGCAGGAAAATCTCTGTGGAATACACGTTTCTGTTCTTTCCTGCCGGAGCTGGCCCTGGTGTCTCCCTGAGGGCTGGGGCTGTCTCTGTCATGGGACGGAGAGTGGGGAGGGCCTGAAGCCCAGAGCCCGGCTCCCCAGGGAATGAGCCTGCTGGAAGGTGCTCTGGAAAATGCTCATTAAAACGGCGGCTTTTAAAGGAAGCTGGCTGCTTGGAGACGCGGACCCCCCCCCCCCGGAATGCTCGTTCCAGGATGCCCACACAGCTTGGAAATTCCTGGTTAACCCTTGGCTTTCCAGCCGCAGGCCAGGGCTCCCGCAGACCAAGCCAGGATCCCCAGTGTGATGGCCCGCAAGAACCTAGGAAAGGGGAAGGCGGACTCACACCCCAAGCAGCCAGTGCCCGTGCTCTGCTCTGGGACACCCCTGAACCCTTGGGGTCTCTGCTCACACAAGCTCAGAGACCCAGCCTGATCACCTTTTTGAAGGTGAGGGCTCTGCCGGAATGAGAACCTCCCAGCCTTCAGCACCACCGTCCGCTCTGTGGGCAGTGTGCTGGGGCTGGGGGCGAGACAGAAGAATGGCTCCGGGGTCAGGTGATCCCGGGTGCTCAGGGACCCGGAGCCTCCTCCGGCATTTTAGCAGTCTGTGGAGGAATCAGCCGGCCCTAATCCACCGCTGATTAAAGTGCTATTGATTCCCCTGCCCCGGCTTAGGCCCGGCATCTCTCAGCAAATCGAGCCTCCCGGTACCCAGCGGGGGTCGCTAATCAGGCCCTTGGTTGTCCGTTGGACACAGACCTGCCCCTGAAATCTCCGATTCAGTTAACCTGAACTTCTTGCCTCAGCCAGGAGCCATTTGAAGCCGGGGCTCTGCGATTAGGATTAGCGGCCTGGCTCTTTAGCCCGGCCCCAGGCCCGGCTCCCGGCTGGGCCAAGCGTCACCACTGCCCTGCCCACGTGGCCTGAAGTGCGGAGAAGAGGATAGGGCCTTTCTTGGCTCTGTCTGTGTGGGGATGGGCCTCCTCTCAGCCAAGTCGCCGATGCCCTGGGGGGCTCCGGCTCCCTCTCCTGCAGATGCCAATCATTCCCCCGCTCCCACCAGCTCCGCCCCAGGGTGTCTGGTTGGAGACTCAGCCGGGTATTTCTGCAGCATGTGGAGCCGGTGCACCTGGGCCAAGCTGTGGCCTGGGTCCAGTTTTGTGGGGTTGAGACCCTGGCTCCGAGTGGTCAGCAGCTCCACTAGTACCAAGTGCCGGGGAACCGGAGAACACGCAAACCGCATTAGGAGGTCGGGGTTCTAATCCGGCCGAAATCACTGGGTCAGTGGCTCAGGGCCTAATGGGATAGGTTGGACTCTGGTATTGAAAGCCCCTGCCGGCTGTGCGGCTCTGCGCCTGCGTGACGAGCGAGCGCTGCTCTGCCTGGGGGGGTGAGTTAGGACGGGTGGGGGGGTGGGGGCAGGGGGCGGCTAGGCTACAAGCTGGCACCCGCTCAGGAGGGAGGGGCCGCTATGGACGCTGCACTCGGTGCTGGGTTCTCTGGGGCGGCTAAGGGCTAGGGTCAGGGCTCCTATGGAATCCTTCCTCGGCATCATTGTCAGCATTTCTGCGGAGGAAGCAAGCGGACCTAACAGAGCGGGCTGCTGTGTCCCTGTGGCATGCTGCTGTTTTACCCCCAAGGAAGTATTCTCTCCCGCCTTGACAGTGAGCGATGGTCCCAGACTTCTCTCCGAGGTCTTGGCGCTCGGCCCCAAAAGCTGTATATCTAAGAGTGGGTTTTACTGGCCCAAGGCCAGAAGCCTGTTGGCTGCTGGGAGATGTTGCCCGGATTCGAGCCTGCCCACTGGGGATGTACAAGAGGAGGCCCCCAGCCCCCCTGAAGACAGAGGGAAAGGAGAGGAGTAGAGCTGTGTCAGGCCTGGACTGAGCCTCTGACCCTGGGAGTCCTTTCTGAAAACCAGGCCTGAGAGTGCTATGCTGTGGGGCAGCTGCAGACTCTCTGCTGAGGGTGTGGCCCTGGGCCTGACCAGGAGGTGGGGGTGGAGGAGGGTGTGCATCATTGAGAGGCCTTGGGGGAGGGAGGAGGCCTGCTTGTGCCTCATTGATTCTGTGAAGGCCCTTTCCTGCCCCATTCTAACCACACTTCTCACCCACCCCCCACTAACAAAGATCCAGTGACCCATATATGGTTGAAAATGCTCCCCTGCCCCCTTCTTACCAGCCTGTGGAGCCTCTCCAGGCTCTGTGAAGCTGCATTTATAGGCACAGACCCACGGAGTCCCTGTGGAAGGGGCCCCTTAGGTGGATGCCTCAGGCCAAGAATCCCCTCCGTGCATTTGCTGGAAGCCCCTTCCATATTGGGATGGCTCCTCTCCTCTCCATGGCAGTTGACATTGAGCTAAAGTCCGCCTCTGCTAATCCCCCATGGCTCAGGGCTCTACCATCCCCCCCCCAAAAAAAACCAAACAAACAACCCTGCTCCTGCTTAAACATCTCTGCTTCCTTCCACTGAACCATGTATAGGGTGGTCTCCAAGCCTCCCCCAGCCTCATCCCTGTCTCCTGGACACTCTAGCTTCTGTGTCTGGCCCAGCTGGAGCCTGGTCAGATGAGTACAGAGGGACTGTCACCTGCCTGGTCTCTAAGGGGACTCAGTGTTCGCTGAATGACAAATTTCAAGCTGGAAGCTTCTTTAGAAGTCACTGAATCCAACCCTCTAATTTGCAGAGGGAAGAGAAAGCTTTGAACACAGCTCCCCACGATCCTGTCCTGCTCTGGAGCTCTCCCTTCCCCTTGGCCTGTCCTGGGCTGCTGCCTGGAGGCTCCCCCTCCCCACTCTCCTGGTTCCGTTCCGCTTGCTGCCTTCATCGCCCGGCACATTTGCTTAGCCCAGTGCCTGGTATGCAGTAAGCACTTCGTTAATTCGTGTTCATTGCACTCTGACTCCCAGTGGATCACCCCCTCCCCAGGTCAAGCTTGCAGGCCACTGAGACCCCCAGCTCTTTGTCACCACCCTGCGGCCGCGTCGTCGTGTGAGGCGGACTTTTTGGGACGCTGCTGCAGGGTTTTATATTGAAATTCCGTCTCCTTAGGTTCAGCTCAGCATTCCAGGCCCAGCCTGACTCTGCCAGCCAGTGGGTTCCCTCTCCCTCCCAGCTCAGCACCAGCTGGATAAGCATCCATAGCTTTACTCAGGCTATGGATAGAAATCGTTAATAGCAGAAGGCGAAGCAAGAGCTGATCCCTGGGGCCCTCCACTAGAGACTTATATCCTGCCTTCCATCAGTGAAGTCCCTCAGGGTCCCTCATGTCTCTGGCTGTGTGTGGCCCAGGCTCCTGGATGTTCCAGTCCAGTCCTTGGCCCTCACTGTGTATGTCGCTGCTAGACCGGACCAAGTGTGCACCCCGCATGCTCTGTGCCAAGCACTGTGCTAAATGCTCGACAGTCACTGTCTCCTGTAATCCTTGCAACACCCCTGCAAAGTAGGTGATCTCCCCATCTACAGATGAGGAGACTGAGGCAGGCAGAGGTAAAGTGACTTGCCCAAGGTCACACAACTGTTGTGTCTGGGGCTGGATTTGAACTCAATGCCTAGCCCTAGAACCTTGAACCAAAGCAAAAAGACATTTAGTTAAGACACAGCCCCTGGCCATTAAGAGTATGGAAGAAAGCCCTCATCTTCCCTTGTGCCTCAGTGTCCCCGCAGTCAGCTGAGCCCCCTTCTCTGCGTGTCCCCTCCTTGGCTCTTGGGATGAGCCGCTCTCTGACCCTAACTCCTTTCTTCTCCACGTGAAGTTCCGACACATACGACTTTCCACCGGTCCCTCGCCTCATGCCTCTTCTCCGATTTGGGCAGACCTTTTTGAATCTTGATTTTGCCATTCGGCGAGGAGGCCACAGGGCACTGAGGGAGGGCCTGGAATCAGGAGGACCCAAGTCCAAATGTCACCCCAGACACGCTTTAGCTGTGTGATCCTGGAAAAGTCACTTCACTTCTGTTAGCCTGTTTCCTCACCTGGAAAATGGGGGTAATAACAGCCCCCCCCCAGGGTGGTTGTGAGAATCAAATGAGGCCATCTTTGTAAAGGACTTAGCATTTAGGGCCTGGCATAGAGTGAGTGCCTCATAAATATCGTTAGCTCCAGCGGCTCCCCTCCCGGGGTGGAGCCCTCTGCGGTCCGGCTCTCACCCTCCCTCCAGACAGACTCGGGCATTGGACGCTCCTTGGTCTGGGGGATTATTTTTAAAGAAAAAATTGCTTTGATGTTTTTTTTTGACATCGGAGTGGCTCTGCATTGTCGGGGAGGGGGTCCTCATAACAGAACCAAGCACCCAAAGCCATGGCTGCCCAGCGCCCGACATCTGTCCTCCTGTGGCCTTCAGAGCCTTCCACCATCCTCCCCTCACCCTTCCAGGCTTGTCACACACACGTCCTCTTGTCCTCTTCTTTGTCCCTCCCACAAGACCCTCCATCTTTGGGCTCTGGGCCTTCTCTTGGCCGTCCTCCGCACCAGGAACATTCCAGCTTCCTTGGAAGAAGGTTGGCCCTTCCGGCTTCTGGCAGGGGCTATCGTTTGTTCTTGTATCCTCAGAGCTTGGCATGGTGCCTGGCATACAGTGAGCACCACATAAATGCTTCTCACCTGGCCTCTCCCCCTTGTACAAACAATCCTCTTTAGAGGATTCACTGTTTACTCAGCCGGTGATGAGTATTGACCCGCCCTGGTGCCACATTCTGTTCCTGCCAGGCTTAGCTTGCTCCACTTGGGCCTTTCTTTCTGTCCTTGACCTCGATGGGTGTCAGCCTCCCTGGCCAAGGGCCAGAATCAAGGTCAAGCTGGTGGACTCCACTGTCTGGTGAGCAGGGCAGGTGGGCACTAGTGGACCCCACCCTTATGTGGGCAGGGCTTCTTTTCCCCAGCTGATGCTGGCTCTGCCCTCCCTCTGCCCAGACAACAAAAAGCTTCTCAAAGAAGGCCTGGACTCCACTCCCAGCCCTTTCCCTATAGGGGTCCCAGGACTAGGATTCTCTTTCTGCCCTGGAAGTTA